ATTGAAACTAGAAGAGCCTGAAGTAAAACAGTTATGGTTAGCAGATGACACCACCGCTGCAGGAAAACTCCAGTTGTTAAAACAATAGTATAGATGCTTAGAGGAAGTTGGAGCTTTGCATGGGTATTATGTAAATCAGTCAAAATGCTGGTTAATTGTAAAATCAGATAATCAAGCTGAAAAAGCTAAAATTATATTTGGAAACGCTACAAATATAGCCACCCAGGGAAAAAGACACCTAGGAGCCGCTCTTGGTTCAAAAGCATATAAAAAGCGTATTGTGATGGTTTAGTATATAAATGGTCTAACGAGCTTAATAATCTCTGCGAAATCGCTACTACACAACCACAAGCTGTTCATGCAACTTTTTTTAAAGGGTTTCAATCTAAATTTACATACTTCTTACGTACGATTGAAGCTTTCGAACAATTCGTAACACCAGTTGAAAAATTATCATCAGATAATTTTTTACGTGTGTAGTTTGTTACTGAATGTTCCATAATCAAGGAGAACAGGGAGTTATCGGCGCTGAATCCATCAGAGGAAGGGCTTGTAATTTGTAATTTATTTACTAAGGCCAAGTAACAACATACTGCCTCCAAGGCAATTACCAGGTTACACGTAGAATTCATACTTGAACAGTTAGATCTCTTGAAAAAAAAAAGAGATGATTATGGTAAAACGGTTTCAGAAATAAAAATGAAAACAATTATTTTCGCACCAGCAGCTGGTTAAACACTTTACCAAATAAAGAGCAAAATCTAGATCTGTATCTGAGATACAATGTGCCACTCAGTAATATCTTATCTGGGAAACAGCAATAAAATAGCCAAAAATGGTAAACATTCAGCAAAAACCATTTCATAAAGGGCAATTAGCAGGAAACGACTGCAGAAAACTTTTGAAAAACATTGGCTTGCTTCAATAGTTGGCTGAAAACCATACCGACAAAAAAAGGTATGTGGCCCACATGTGGTCATAGTGCTTTCGTGTGGATTTAAAGTTCAAAAATATATTACAGTTAATGAATGACGCATTTGATGAAGATAAGTGGGGCTTGTGGAACACATAATGCGGTTTACATAACTATTCCACTTAATGTGGCATAATCCTTAAATAAATGCGTGCTAAATTTGATGTGGCTATCATATGAGCCATACATATAAAACTCACGATCTTGCCGCATTTTAAACTTTAAATTTTAACCAATTGTAATAATTCTATCGCAATGCATTGTAAACTCTAGAATATTCCATGATATCATGTGGCTTAGCGTTTTGATAATTTTCAATTGTAAGTATGTTTGAGCGATAAAAATAAATATTCATAAATGAAAAAGTGTAAATATATAAAATAAAAAATAAAAGCCTAGGTGTGTTAGGACTTTTATTTATTGTAACAATTTGTTATCATTACTAAACTATGTTTTTTTTTTAATGTGATTTTATGTGTGATTTAGATTATATAACGGAATATTGTTAAAAGAATAATATTTAAAACTATATTACTTATATACAGGGCCTTACCAACGGGGGTGTGTCGGTTCCCCCTCCCCGACAAGAAAGGTATATGTGGCCCACATAATGGGCCAGTTCAGCCAGCTGTCATTTCTGTAAGCTTATAAAGTGATTTTATTAAAAACAAGCGTAAACAAGTTAATGTAAAAATTTTAAATAGTTATTTTAAACGTGAAAACGAATATATTTATTTAAACAAGGACTTACACTTATTGATTACGATCAATAAATGTAAGTTGTTTTTTTCTTAAATTAGATAAAATTTTACTAGATTTTAATAATTAATATAAAATTATTTTAAACATCAACACCTAGTAGCCAACCATTACTGCCAATACCACGCCATGCTGTAAGTACTAAACATGTTGCTTGATAGCAATACTTTAAGTTAAAATTTGTTAAAGTTATTATTAGATATTAAAATTTGATGAACGATTAGAATGTTTTTCGAGAGATCCAACACTAAGACAAATCTATTCAAAGCTTCGTGTCATTACCAAATGATCTTAAAGAAATAAATTTACCTTCAGTAAGGTTTTTGTAAATTTTATTTCAGTAATTATAAGTTTGCTGTTAAGTAGAATAATTATAATTAATGATCATTAAATTAAAACATGCATAAATGTAATTTAACTACAAAATTATATTTTTAAAATTGTTTATGTTGATATATTAATAATATATTTATAACATATTTTGTTGGAGTTATCTCAGGAGTTCTTGCTAATCCCTCTCACCGAAAACTCCACTCACACCCTTACACCAATCACACAGTCAATTGAATACCGATTGTCTTCCATTGAAAACCTACTTAAAGGTGAAAAATCTTATAAAGTACATATATTAATTTGTTTTTCTTTTAAATACTTATAACAATTTGATTCGATTAGATTTGGTAAAATCTGTAGGTTCTGCGACAAAAGAGATTAAACATCTGACAGAGCGTATGCTGATTGGTCATACTGAAGAAAGTTTATTCAAGAAATCAAGTAACATAAAAGAGCTAGATGCTGTGTTGTTGCAATGTCAGGATAAAGAAATGACCTCACTTTTTGCAAGTTTTACTTAAATATTATTCAAAACTTTTAAATTAAAACTCCGGTTGCATCCATTAAAAATCAATTGAAAAATTAAATACTAGAATATTTAACTTTTATTTATATAATATAAAATTTTATTTTTATATCATTTTTATTCATATATAAATTTTATTTTTTAGTAATCACTTATATATATTTATATATGTATTTATACACATTTGTGTACTTTTAAATTGTTCACTTTCTTTTTCTGAATGTAAATTAACTGGCTAGCAACAGCAGGTGGAAAATATATATCTGATATGGTACGAAACATTTTGAATGTTTTCATGACTGATGAGTTGTTGTCGTTCTGAGAAACGCTCAAATAAATATTCAATTGAGGCTTTTGTAAAGTTTACTGCAAGTAAGTAAAGTAGCTATTCCATTAGACGTATGCATCGAGAGAAGAATGAATGAATAAATTTAATGAAAAGTTATTGTATACTTATATGTTTGTAAATGAATTTATAACAAAAAGCAAGAAGCATATTATATTTCATATATATAAATATATATGATTTGAATGTTGACATCTTGTGTGAGAATATATATGTTAAAATATAAAAATATCAATTAATACGAGTTCTCTCAATACTATTGTTAATTTAAATTAACAATAGTATTGAGAGAACTCGTATTAATTGATTTTTTTATATTTTTAACATATATATATATATATATTCCTTCCTTTTTAAAGTGGTTTTGAGCGATATAAGTATTAAAGCCACACGTGGGCCACTCCAACGCCATCCCATAATGTAAGGTGGTAAATATATGCCTAATATATACTTCTTACACGTGGGCCACATGAATCTTTGCGCACAATTGAAGCGTGGCTTTCGTTCTTGTTTAGTGTGATTTTAGTGGGATAAACATTATAGCCAAATATGGGACGCATCAACGCCATCCCATAAAGGAGAGTAGTAAATATATGGCTAACATGTGCTTGCCACACGTGGGCCATATGAAACTTTCACGCACAAATGAAGCGTGGCATTCGTTCTTATTTAGTATGGTTTTAGTGGGATAAACATTATAGCCACATATGGGACGCATCAACGCCATCCCATAAAGGAGAGTGGTAAGCATATGGTTAGCATGCAAATGCCATATATGGCCCTCATTAAAATTTCTTGTCGGGATGCTTGCTTCTTGCCGTTTCCATTCTTTAAAACTATTCGTAAATTCAATGCAGTAATTAATGTTTGTTTTGGCAATAACCTTAAACATAACTAATCTTTAAAGATTGTTGAGTTCAGGTGCTCCTATGTGAATCTCCCAAATACAACTATCACCCCAAAGACACATGCAGTTTTTTTCCATGTTGATCAATTTATTGCCCGTCACAATCTCTGACTTGAGGTATATTCAGAGCAAGCAACAGAATCAATTCATAACAACTTTAGCACCCATTTACAATGCTACAAAAGATCAAGTGGGCATCCAGACTATCAAACAAAACTGTTGAGATGCTTGAAAGCAAGCATGCATTTTTAACACTTGATTCTGCATTGGAATACTTTATTATTTTTTTATGTTATGATATAAATTTAGAGTTTAACATCTGTTCAAGTATATTTATTTTTATCTTTTTAAGTTTAGTGTTTTTAGAGTATTAATGAAACAAAAAAAATATCCACTTTTTCTTCTACTAGTGTTCATTTTTGCAAATATAAAAAAATATATATTTCTTTCTTTTAAATATTTTTTTCATAAAAAATTTTATTAAGTTTTAAAAATTTTATTAAATTATATAAAAAATAACTTATATCTTTATTTTTTTTTTTTTTCAGTAATCTTTTGAATCAATGGATTTAGAGCGTTAAAACTTTTTTTGTTGTAAAACATGTTTTTTTTTTTTTTTGCAAAGCATAATTTAGAGTTGTATATTATTTTTGTCTTTAGAAAAGTTAATTTTCCTTATTTAAACCACTTTTTTGCACATAGACGTAATAGTCTGATTTTGAGATATATACAAAAATCAAATTTCCTTCCACGGACGTAATAGTTTGTTTTTGGAATCCATGACAATGTGACCGTCTTTTTGTGTACTTCCATACCCCAAAAAGGTTTTTCTCGGGACAGAAAGCTCAAATTAATTTGCATTTTGCAAAAATGCAAATAAATTTGAGTTTTATCATTCTACTATATATAGGTAGAATGATAAAACTAGTTTATATAATTTTTATTAAATTTTTTTTTAAACTGCTTTTTACATCATCAACAGTATTATTAATCAGAATTACGCTTGTTTTTTATATTTATACACAATTAAACAAGGTGGTCTTTTATTAGTACCCAGTAATTTTAAAAGTTAATAGGACAATACTCTCTTTAAGAATTTAAATAGTTTTTTTAAAGACTTTGATTTAAAATAAAGAAATATAAAAATAAAAAAACATAATTCCATAAAAACTATTCAACGCACAAAAAGTTAAAAAATGTTCATTATATTTACAAATCAAGTTCTCATATAATACAATCCAATTTGAGTTTAATCTAGTACAAAGCAACTTAGTACCTAGTACATTTTGAGTTTAGTACAAAATAGAGCAACATGTAAGAGCACCATCAACTTTACTTATCTCGGAACAGTTCAGAGATATCTTAGTTTTAACTGGCAAATTATTAAAGAGCTTAAAGCTTTCGGGAAACTCATTAACCGAACGGTGTATTAATACTCCATTTGCATAAATTACATTTGCTGCATAATCATCAGAAACCTCGAAAAATTCATATTTTTCACAAGCTTTGTTTAAAAGTTGCTTTTTAACAAACTGAGCAGTTTCACTTTTTCCTAACGCAATAGTATTTTCATTTAACATGCTTAAAAAACTTTTCAAATGAAGATGTTTTGAGCCAATATCTAATGCGTGAACTGGAAAATTATTAAAAACATTTTTTATTGTAACCACTCCTTCCAAATTTGATCTTCTTGAAATACCAACGAATATTTCTTTACCTGTAAACAAAACATCTCCACCATCGCAACAAGCAGGTCCTGTCATTATATGAATATTTTTAATACAATCACTGTTTTTGAAATGTTTTAATACGCTAATTGTTTCAAGTTTTCTTGAACTTGCACCAGGATTTGTAATCAATGCTGTTTGACCAATAACAATAGCAGTATCTTCAACAAATACACAATCAGGTAAACTTTCATCACTTTCAAGAATTTTAATATCGCTTATTCCAGCATTACGTAACGCAGTTATATAATCTTCATGCTGCTTGACTGCAAGTTCATAATTAAAAGGACTACTTGGTAATTTTTGTCGAAGGCCTAAATTTACAATTGAACGAGGAATATTTCTGCAGAGCGCTCTCAGATATTTCATTTTTTCTTTAAATAATAAATTTAACCGAAAACTGTTAAAATTGCTGTATTATATATATATATATATATATATATATATATATATATATATATATATATATATATATATATATATATATATATATATATATATATACATATATATATATACATATATATATATATATATATATATATATATATATATATATATATATATATACATATATATATATATATATATATATATATATATATATATATATATATATATATATATATATATATATATATATATATATATATATATATATATATATATATATATACAGTGATATTTTTGTTCGGAAAATAATTTTAGTTTTAGTTTTTATTCAGTTTAGAGGCAAAGTTTTTAGTTCTAGTTCTTATTCAGTTCAGTAAATAAATTTAGTTCTAGTTTTTATTCAGTTCATCTTAAAATAATTTTAGTTTTAGTTTTTATTTAGTTCAATTTTCGTTTGTCGTATAAATTTTTTATCTCATCTAATTATAATTTAGTATAATTTATAAATAATATAGGCATATATAATTAAAAGAAGTAAGTCTTAGTTCTATAAACAAACAAAAAAATGAGAACTTAATTAAATGTAATACACCCAGTCCCATGGCTAGAAGTTTAGAGCCCCGCCCACCGCCCTTAATAAAAAACACAACAACAACCTGTCCTTATTGCTCTAAAACTTAAAAAAATTTCAATTATTAGGTATAAAAAAAACTCCTCAAATTTGGTAACAATAAAAACTAATGAATAGTTATTGTATAGACTTTAATAATTACTCATATATTTTACAAATAAAGGGCCTAGTGATTATATGATTATCATCTAGACTAGATGAGAATTTAGTTTTAAGAAAACTCGCATTTCCAATGACGCTGATATTCGATTTCTCCGTCCATTTGTGAGCAAGCCACAGATTGAAAAAAGTCTTTCAACATATGCTTGAGTTGCAGGAGCTGCAATGAGATCTTCAGCTAATGGTGCAATATGTGGGTAAACAGCACGTCTCATCTTTCAGAAATTTAAAGCATTTTGGCACATAGAGCTGTTCCTTATTTCAATAAAATATTTGTTGAGTTCATTTTGTGCTTCATTACCTGGAATAAGCTTTATTTTTTCTACTCGCTGTTTTGCCGCTAAAAATTTCCATTTTGTTAATCCATTTATTTCTGGAGCAATCTCAACAGAAAGAGTAGATGCACTTGCTAAAGGTAAATCATGTTGCACCGATTTTTTAGCCTCTGACAAAATGTATTTCTTTGCACACTCTCTGATTTGTGTATGCTCATTACCTAAAAGAGCTATTGCACATGTGGGGTCAAGTAGACATGCGGCACATGGCAGTGGATTAAAATTAGGATCGTTTGGCTGCAAAAGAACGGCAAAACGACGGCGTAGATCTTCAAGCATTTTAACTGCTACATCTTTGGCATCTCCAAATTGCTCAAGGTGACGTTCTAAATTAAGTATTGAAGGTATAACACTGGATAGTGAAAGTGCATCCGTCTGAAGAATATCAGTTTCATTGGCAAAAGGTTCTAAAAGATTGACAAAATCCTGAAGCATTATCTATTTGCTATTGGCAAGTGAATCAATGTTAAGGTCTCCAAGCACTTCGTTGATAAATGTCTTTATTTCCAGAAATCTCCGAACCATAAAGTAAGTGCTGTTCCATCTTGTAGAACAGTCGCTGATCACAGTCTTACCACATTTGTTGATAAATTTTTCCAATGCAACAGAAGATTTGCGAACTTTTCCCACTAATCCACGTACCTTCAAAAGTAAGCCATGATATTTACCATCATATGCAAGTTTTACAACTAGCTGTATAACATGTGCAATGCATCCCAATCTTCTAAATGCTACGTTTTCTATTACATCAACTATCAAGTCAACATGTTCCCACTCTTCACTATTTGTCATATTCTCATCGTCTTCCAGATCTGTTATCTGCTCTTCATTAACCTCACTTTCTAATTCAATAAGTATATCACGTTCAGCTTGAGCTTTCATTCTCGACAACTTTATGCCTTTGACCATGTTTGCTCCATTGTCCGAAATAACAAGCAATATTTTTTCTCTGGAAATATTCCAATATTTAAGGCATTTTTCAAAACAATTAGCAATTTGTTCACCTGTATGCGGATGTTTCACAAGATACAAATTAAGCAGAGCATGTATTGGTTTTTCGGATTTGAAGTGAAAAAAACAAACCGAAATTCCTAAAAAGGACGCAGTAAGACCTTTTTTAGTCCAGCCATCAAGGCATATTGTGAAGCGCCTGCCTTCAGATATGAAGTCACGAAGTTTTCTCGTTAAAACAGTAAATTCTTTATTAAGTAGGCTAGTAATTTTGGCAGAAGCAGGCAATGAAAATTTATAATCCAAGGTATTAACTAACTTTCTAAAACTCGCATTATCCACCAATGTCACTGGATTACATGTTGCAATTATCATTTGAATAAGAGAGTTTAGTCGAATTTTATGCTCGTGTGAATTAATAGGCCATGCGGTATTCCTACGATTAATGCATTGAATCAAGGTCTGGTTCTGATTTGAGGACGATTCTAAAAGAGTGGGTCCATTTTCATCCACTGCTTTCTCTTTATCCCTGTTTGCTTTTTTTCACTTAATTTCTTTAATTCCGACTCTTCCAGCTCAACGTGTACAGACTTATGGTTTCTTGCTAAATGTAGCTAGAAAAAAATAAACATATTTATATAATTTTTTGTTTGTATATTTATATGTTTAATTATCTATCTGTTTATCAATTAATGTGTAAATAAGTTCGTATACGTTATTGAATAATTACTCTAAAATGATAAAAATGAGTCGTTTGTTTCAAAATGAAAACATATCCTCTAACAGATAAACTAACTTTAAGATTTGTTGGGTTTCTTTCCACACAACTTTGTATTGCATACTTTTTCACCATCAAGTAAAACTAAACATACTGATTTGTCGGATGACGCATCGTATTTAAACCATTTCCATACTGAACTATTCCTCTTCCTACCAGCAAAAAGTTTACTCAAACTCATCGCGTAGTTGTGTTGGTCTTACAGTTTGATTTTTTTTAGTTTGAAAAAATATATTCGAATAAATATATTCGAACTATATCATAACTAAACTTATTCGAAGTTAATTGAATAAAATTCAATTAAGTTCGAATAATATATCATTATAATGTATTGTAATATAATAATTATATATATCAAATAATTCAACTCGTTTCAAATCTAGAACGAAAATATTTCGTTTTAAAATAATTTTCGATTCAGTTTTTATTCCGTTCGAAAATTTAAAATTATCGTTTTTATTCTGTTCTCGTTCTTAAAATAAATTTCGTTTTAGTTTTCGTTTTCGTAAACGAAAGGCTTTTTTTTTCGTTCTCGTTTTCGTTCTCGTGTACGAAAATATCACTGTATATATATATATATATATATATATATATATATATATATATATATATATATATATATATATATATATATATATATATATATATATATATATATATATATATATATATATATATATATATATATATATATATATATATATATATATATATATATATAATTCAAAAAACTCTCTGCGCAAACTCGTCATTTTAAAATGCTAAAAATTATGTTTTTGGAACAGTGACTTTTCACGTTTCAATAGGATGGTGTAATCATCATGTATTATTATCTTATGTGTTTTTTCTATTAGAATTGTCAGTATCATGATACAGACAATTTCTAATAATAATGAATTTCTTGTTTTTATTTTAGACTGCAGGTCTCATGGATGGGTTGTAATGGGCTGCCCGATGCTACATTGACCTTTGCACCCATTGGAAGATTTGAAAAGTTCATAAAAAAATTTAAATTTTAAATTTTTGGGCATAAAGTCAAATAATTTATTCTAGCTATTTAAAATCTTCTTATTTGTTCTTTGTAAAGGTTTAAAAAAAAAAAAATTATAATTTTGAATAGTAGAATTTTTTTGCACAGATTTCTCCTGAAAACATCGTCATTTTATTCTTTAACTGAAAAACCTTAATTGAGATTTTGTTAATAACATCACTTGACTTAGTAATATTACCCTAGAGAAAATGATATTGTTCTAATATCTGCTTTGTTTAACACAATTTTGAAAAAATTCATCAAAGGGTTCTCAATCAAAATTTTATATATGTGATTTCTAAGCTTTGAAGTATTGAAAGGTCAATCAATTTCTATTTATAAACAATTCACTAATAGCTTATATACATCTAAAACACAGTTTACATTTAGATATACAATATACATAATAAAGAGGTTACATATTAATAAAAAGAGGGTAATCAATAAAGTTTTTAAGCGTTTTTCTAGACAAATATGTAACCTGTAGGGAACATATAGGTGTAGTTGAAGATAAAATATTGAAAAATTTAGGTATAATTTACAAAGCTTAGCAGTTATTAAATCGATCTTGTTTAAAAAACATTTACTTTTCTTTTATTTATTGCTACTTAAGTTATGCGAACATTGCTTGGTGTAGCACTAACGCGACGAAAATAAAAAAATTGCTTCGCAAACAAAAACAGGCTGTAAGGATAGTTTCAAACGTAGATCGTTTCTCTCACACACAAACACTATTTAATGAACTCAATATCCAAAATGTATATAAACTAAACCTTTATCATGTTCTTATTTTCGTGTTCAAAAATGATAAAAATATATTACTAATCTTATTTTATTCAATTTAAAAAAAAATAAATCACATGTATGTATGTATGTATGTATGTATGTATGTATGTATGTATGTATGTATGTATGTATGTATGTATGTATGTATGTATGTATGTATGTATGTATGTATGTATGTATGTATGTATGTATGTATGTATGTATGTATGTATGTATGTATGTATGTATGTATGTATGTATGTATGTATGTATATGTATGTATGTATGTATGTATGTATGTATGCATGCATGTATGCATGTATGCATGTATGCATGTATGCATGTATGCATGTATGCATGTATGCATGTATGCATGTATGTAAGTACATACGGACCAAAAGTAAAGTGATTTTGGGAAGAACGAAGATATGTATGCATGTATGTAAGTACATACGGACCAAAAGTAAAGTGATTTTGGGAAGAACGAAGATATGTTAGAGTGAAAGATAGAAGTAGTCGAGTCAGAAAGATAGCATAGAGAAAGCGGACAGGATTGCACACGATGTTAGAAGGTGCAGCACGTTATTATACACATAATTGGCTTAATATACACATATTGTCTTAATATCTCAATAAAAAAAATTATTGTTATCAAATATGTCTCAATTCAAACCTTTTTTAATTAAGTTTAATTATCATAACATGGTGTGTCCATATTTAAATCAGCGGCAAAAAAAACGTGCTTATATTGTTTGGTCATTTCCGATGTAATAATCCTAAAGAAATTCAGAATGCTACATTGGTTGCCACATGGCGGTCGATATAATAAGGAGATTAAATAGACTACTCGGTTTTAATTAAAAATATCTATAAATAGCAGTAAAAATTTATTTAAAAAAAAAAAATCATGGAATTTTTACTACTAAAAAAAAAAAAACATTCGACAGTAATTTAAAAAACATATATGTTATTCAATAGTAATGCAAAAAAGGTTTTACAACAAAATAAACTAATCATCAGTTTTATTTTTCTTTTAACTGAAAACTTTAAAAAATTTTGTTTTCTCATAAAAATTTCCAATATAAGTCTTGAAAATTGGCGAGTGCTCAAAGAAAAAAAGATTTTATTATAACTATTTTATTTTTTAAAGTTAACTTTTTTGTACTCGGTGTAGTTAAGGCGTTTTACAAAATATTTAAATACTTTTATTTGGAATTAGCATGGTTTTGTCAGGATATTATGCCCAAACAAGATCTTTAAATGTTATAATTTTTTTTGCTTAAGGTTTTTATAATATTTAAAGAAACTTTTCTTTTTTGCATATAATTTTAAAAATCTTTTTACAACCCGTAATTATGTATCTAAAGAACACTATTTTGGAGTCTTTAGATCAATTCCGCTCATTGGCATTAACATGAATTTAGCTAAAATCTTTTAAAAAAGTTCCTTAATTTACTACTGATCCTAGTTCTAATCGTCTCTGACGTATATTAACTATATTTAGTTGTCAAAAAACAATATTTCTATCAATTTTTACAAAAAATACTGGAATTCGACCAAAAAATACTGGAATTCGACCAAATTTTTACAAAAAATACTGGAATCCGACCAAGAAAGAGCTTATAATTATGGAATATTGCCAATAAACGATCAGAACAGATCATATCATTAAATTATAATGGTCATTTTACCTAAAAAACGTATTAATATTAAATCTTATTTAAATTTGAACGAGCGGTTGTGATTTTACGATGATTTTTTTTAAAAAAAAAAGATTCCACGGTCTGGATTTTTCCTCTACAAACATTTTTATTTTATGATACCACAAAATTTATTATTTTAATTTTTTTCGTCTTTTCATAATTCACAGACCAGGAAATATGTAGTCAACAAAATATCATAGAGACGCTATAATATTTTAAAAGTACCTTAACTGCACCGAGTAGACAGCATATTTTTTGTGTGATCAACGCTCGCCATTCAAAGTGTGCACATTACAGCAATTCCACATGTCTCGATGCTTTGTTTTTATCGAGAAAATACAATTTTATAATATCTATGCGTATAAAAAATATTTTAAATTTATATTATTTTGATTAAAAAATATGTGTTATTTATTTATTTTTTACTTTCAATTTTACAAGTTTAAGAGCGTCACGGCGTGACAAATCGGTGTCACGTTGTGACGCGCGTACCTTTAGCTATATCTGTAAAAATATTTTTAAAAAATTATGAAAAATTTAGTTTTTATAATACAGTTAAGCTATTTCAATATTATAATAAAGTTTTTTTATTTTTAAAATCTAAATACCGCAAACTTTTGTTTTCTTGATTAAAAACGCATTAACGCTGTGGTTCTACTTTTTGCAATAAACGAATAAAAAGTTGTTGTTTTTTAAAGTTGATGACTTTAAATTTAAGTTAAACGATGGAAGAAAATACACAAACTATTTTGTTGGCATAAAATGCCAGATCTTTTTTCCTTAGCCGTTTTTTTTGTCGATATCACGCTTTCAGATGTTGAAGTACCTACCAGAGAACAAATGACAACACTTAAAAAAATAAATTTTCTTTAACTTTTGACTGAATGTTTAGTTACAATTTAGAGGTTTACTCGATGTCTTCAGGCTGGCTAAAATACCATGCTGCCAGTGAAAATGAAATGAAATAAAGTTGATTGATAGAAAAGTTAACGTGCGAAAAATAAATTTTTTTGTTCAAAAAAAATCATTTTTTCAAAAAAATTGATAAAAAAAAAATATTTTATTTTATAAAAAATATATTTTATTTTGCGAAAAATAAAGGTAATTTTTTTCTAATTATTATTTTTTCGAAATACTTATCGTCGTGTCGGTTGTTATTGCATTATCGCAACCATCGGTTTATTCATCAATTCATCGTATGCCATTTCGCTATTTTAGTATAATAAAATCATAACTTTTCATCAAGGCTATTAGAAATTATAATAATATTTTCTGAAACTAATCTTCTTTTGTCCTTACTGTAAAATTAAATTTTAATGTCATAAAACCTTTTCTGCCGCACCCAATATTTTAGCGAAATGCCACTTTTTACAGTCATTACGACAATATCTAAATAAGCTTCTTATTGAAACGTGGTTAATCTTCTTTTGAAAAATTGATTATAATTATACAGTCCCAGTTATTTACTTATAAAAGTTAAGAGATATTGTATTTCCAAAATGTATATATATATATATATATATATATATATATATATATATATATATATATGTATATACATGAGTTCTGAAAAAATTTGTTTTTGTTTGCACTTTGATATTGTTTTACTCTTTTTATTTAAAAGATTTGGATATTTGAAGAGCAAAATTTCATACTTTTTATTTATGCATAATTTACAGGATTTTGTGGTAGGATTTCGATCGAATTGCATCTTTTGATTATTTTCCATTTGACAACAGGATTTTAATTTGTATCTTTTAGTTTCTATATTTCCTTTGATAATTCAGTGTAATTTTTGAACTTCGGAATATTAAAGAATTTTATATAGTTGAAAACCTAATTTTAAATGGTGTTTCGCTTATACCGATATAAAGTTTATTGATAGAAGCATGAGTTACTCCATAATAGTTTAATTAAATAAAATTTAATATTGATTTAATTAATTTAAAATTTAATTTAATTAAACGTTACTCCACAAAACTTTTAATAGAAACACGATAAAAAATAAGTTACAGCTGAATGCCAAATATAAAAATTTTAAATGCACACAATCGTCACATTATAAATAAGAACAAAACTTCACCTAAAATCAACTGCAACTCTCTTAATAAGAATACCCTGCCCTTTATCAAACCAATGCTTTGCAAAGAATATCGTATACCAAACTAACGTAATTCCGATGATTAAGTTTAAAAAAAAAACAATTTTATTCTATTTCATAAAACAAGACAAGCAATTAATAATCCATTAAAGCTACCAAAATAATTAATTAATAAAAAAAGAAATACTTAGAAAAATTTTATAAAAAGTTTTCAGGAATTCTATTTGATGAAAATTTATCATGGAGAAACCATCTTGAAAAGAAAAGTAGAAAGTATCTTTTCTTGATTTTAAATCACGACAATTATTTCATACTCTGTTGTATGGGGGGGGGGGGGGGGGGCACTACTATTGGGTAGGTCAAATGGTAGTAGATCAAATATTTTTGTCAAAGAAACTTACGCCGAAAATACGGATAACAAATTTGGTCTTTTCCCTTTTTTTTCTTTTATATCTTATCAATAATTTTCTATTTAAAAAATTATTGGAGGCCCCTGCTGACCCCGGGTTGCTACGGCCTGATGCTATCTATGTTATGAAAACAAAAAGTTAACACAAAAATACAGGTCTTTAAAAAATACAGTCTATTTCAAACCAAACTTTTCTATACTTTTTTCGTATACATTTAAGCTTTCGAAATCCGTAAAATAGGGGTCTTTACCAAGCCAACCATTTCTATCCATATCTATTCTGCACTGATTATTTATATACTTATTTCTTATTTAATTCAATATTTGTTATTAAAACAATTTATTCTGAAAAAAACATTCAAGAGTAAAAAACTTAACATGTGCACCTTTTCCGCATATGTAGAGCTTATAAGAGACTTATAATTAGGTTTATTTTTCTACTAAATGCATTTTACTTGATAGCTCAGTGGTTAAGTACACTGTTATCAATTTTGTTTTGGGGGGTTTAAGACTTTCCCTCAGCGTAATATGTTTTGAATTTTTTTCAATCATGCTTATATACTTATAACAAAAAAATAATAATGTAGCAAAAAAGATTTCTAAAATTTTAAAATAAAATTTTCTCATTTTATAGATATATTATATTATCTCTATAGAATGCCCGCAATTATCTCTATATAATGCCTGCAAACTCAACATATGCTAAAGACGTTTACACTTACAAACATTTGTACGTAACACTATACAAATGAAACTAAGATGATCTTAGACAACTAAAAAATGTCATAAAAATAAGTGCATTCTAATGATTATAATTAAAAACCAAATAATAATAGCTACTTAACGCTAATCTAAAAGTTTAGCCAAAAATTTGCGCATTGACGTCGGTTTGTGGCAAAATAAACCTTCATGCGTCAGTTTCCTTTTGTATCTTACATTGTTTGATTAATTTTAATTGTTGCATACAATTTCATAAAGATATCTAAAATATGTACAGATAAATCATAATAATATATAATTAATATATAATGGATAAGAGATTGTATTTAATACAACAGTAATAAATAATTAGTTTTTGTCTTTATTATAATACATCCCAAAAAAATATATTCCATATATATTTAATAGGAATTTTTTTAAAACAATTTAAATAAAATTATTTCTTGTTTGTTTTTCTAGTTTTTTGCCTAAAAGGGACGTCACATACGCAAATAAATTGTGACTTCTACGATTTACGGAAAAGCCTCGTCTGTCATTTTTAACGATCTATGAAGCTGATAACGTAATATTAGCAATCAGAAATTATCAAGAGAGCGGCAATTCTAAATTAGAAGTTTCAAATTTTCCACTAGGATGAGACAATATGTTTCGTGTTTTTTCAATCTTGTCAATTTGTTTAAATACATACATACAAAAAATCAAATAAATTTGTTTAAATAATATACATACAAAAAATCAAAAGAGCTTGAGCAAAAATGACTTGTAATGTTAGATAAGTTTACTCCAATTACATGCGATCCCGAATAAAACGTTATATAAGTTGATTTTTTACATTTTATAAAC